GCACAATATATTAGTTGATTATTTTATTCACATGAATACCAAAATAAATGTTGAATAAAACCTTTTAAATAATGCATCAGTCGTCATCCATTTCTTTAATGGAAATATTAACTCACAGTGCAATGTGACACTGTTTCTGTCTTCTGTTTAACCTGATGAAACAACACTTGGAGCCAGGTTTGTCTAAAAAAAAAAAATAAAACACAAAGGCAGGTAAAAATTTAATTCATAAATGAAAATGTGTGGGCACATCTGTTATCTAAAAGTTTCTTTAAGCTTACAGTTTTTCCTCCTGTTTACTTTTGTGAACCTTCATTTGAGTCAGTGGCAGTGGTGTAGCCAGAAATTGATTTCAGGCTGGGCCTGAGAAAAAATGGGTGGGTCAGATCAATTTATCAGAGGGTACGCACAAAACCATCACCGCACCTGACCCACACAAATACAGGCCACATGGGCACAATGTGCGTGGTGATAATCARAGAGTTATTTTTCATATTTTCTGAAGCGTGGAACATGACGTGATTCCACAGTGAATCAAAAAACCCACAACAAAGCTGCCTGTCAATCTATGAACACATTTTTCTCCAACTCAAAGATAACTGCCTGACAGATCAGTCAGTAAACAGGTGTAACAGAGTTACCTGTGGCTGAGGGCTGCAGGCTGGACAGATGGCTCAGGTGCCGTGTCCGATAGTTACATCCAGAGGACAAGGCAACAAGACAGCTTTCACTTTATTTCAACTATTTTCTTTAAYGTTTCAATGATATTTAACTGCTTAAAAACTGGTCACRTTTGTAAAACATGCAATTAGCCCTTGCTTGTTTAGAGCTCTGGTTTGGAGTGTTGAAGTCACGTGATTCAAAATAGCCAATGACAGCAAWCTTGCAAAGACATTATAGTGACCAATCACCACCATGCATATTTGATTGTAGTTACTTTTTTTTATTTTATTTAATGGTGGCTTTGAGTGACACCCTCAAAAGTAGAACTAAATTATACAATTTCATTATTTTTTAAATTTGATTTAAGAAAGCCATTTGATTTGGGTGGGCCCAGGTACAAAGTGAGTGGGCCTATGCTCATCTAGGCCCACCCATAGCCACGCCCCTGGTCCATGGTTGTCGCTCTCCTGCTCAAGTCGTGCCACAGCTGAGTCAACGCTGATGTCCAGCTTGTCGCTGATGTGATCTTGCTTCGTCTTTTCAAAGTTGCAAAGTTACAGCTTCTGTAGCTTTTGTCACAATCTCTGATGATGCACAGAATCACAGGTCCRTGTGTGAACAGTGTCAGAGGGTAAACACAAAAATATGCATTATCTGCCCCATTGTTCACTAAAACGGTACACCATTGATTAAAAAATATACATACAGTAGGCATACTGTAGACCATTAGGCATGTACTTTTACTTTTAATAATTTAGATATTAAACATAATAGGCTACAACTTAATAAATTTAGAAATATTGCCTAAAATGCGCAATGACAGTTGACAAACCACATTTGTATGGTTAACTAAATATTCTATGGCTATAAAATTGACAAAGTATATCTTGTTATTGCCTTTTGTGTATTTCATAAATTTGAAGTTATGTAACTTCTGCCTCATGTTTCAGTACTTTGATTTAAGGCATGCTTTGATTGGATGAAAAACACCTGTCTGTGATTCGCTGGGGGTGTGGTTCATTAGTTGAGTGAGTAGTTTGTCAGAGTGTGATTGGAACGCACATGAGTTTATCTATTGTCCGTTCAAACTGATATCTGTTCACGCTTCCACCCACCGAGGCACYATCATTCCTCATCTGCTCTRCTGCGCCATCAAGTGGACAATARAAGTAAACCAGATTATAATGGCGTGGTTTGTGAAGCTGAATAAAATAAAAAATATTTATGTTTGTTTGTGATGACTATAAATAAAGTCTAAGTTTGATCTGAATATGATATTAATCTGTCTTTATGATAGAATGACTGGTTCAAAAGGGATAGTGCACGGAAACAAGGGAGTTTTGATGTGACTGTGCTGTGATTTTGAGACAGTGATTATGACAATGGGGACACATTCTTATTGGTTTATACTCAAAAAGAACAACTTTTCTACTACTGGGCTTTATTTTATATGGTTTATTTGACAAACCAAAATGAAATTAGGAGTAACAAGACTATTTTTAAAATGTAAGCTGTATGAAGTACAGATAACTGTGAAAATGTAAGGAGTAGAAGTAAAATGTAATGTAATGTAAAATGTGCCCCAGGGCAGCTGTGGCTAAAATGTAGTTTGCCATCATCAGTGTGTGAATGTGAGTGTGCATGGGTGAATGTCTGTAGTGTGAAGCACTTTGAGTGTCCTGGATGGATAGGTACAGTCCATTTAAAATATCAGCTCAAAAAGAATTACTCCAGTAAAGTATAGCTAACCAAAAGTTCTGCTTAAGTAAAGCAATAAAGCATTGTACTTAGTTCATTTATTAATCTTTATTTAACCTCTTTATTAAATTTCTGAAGGCAAACTAATTCATATGTTTTTGTTTTTTATTGTCCGAGGGAGGAACCAGAGTTCCTGTAGAAAACCCACATGAGCACGAGGAGAACAGGCAAACTCCACACAGAAAGGCCCCTGCTCCAAACCRAGGATTGACCTTCTTGCTGTGGGCATCAGTGCTAACCACTGAACGCCCCCACATACGTAGGCGTACTTCACTTCGCTGAGTTCTGTGTGGACTCAATGYGGACTTGAATCGGACATTCGGGTCCATGGTATCGCACGATAAACTGCCCGGCGAGTTCACATCGAATTGTTTTGGATGCGACACCAAGCAGATACAGTTGAGAATCTGCGTCATCTTGTGGAAGAAACAAAGAAAAAWTTTAAAGAGCATCTCATGGAGGAGATTAGAAAACATACATACTATATGAYACATCAATGAAGGAATATAAAGACTTTCAGAGAGCAACAAATTTGTGGGAGGAAATAGGTCAGATCCTGGGTAAAGCCCCACACATTCTCAGGCATACTGTGTGCGGTCCGTGGGCCACATGGACTGCACACATACTGTATGTCCACAGATGGTTGAGACCTCATACTTGAGTGCCTGAAAAATTCTTTAATTTTTGGCAGTTTTCTTGTATGGTGTCAAGGATGAAGAGAAATAGCTTCATTTTAGCTTTAAAACAATACAAGAAAAGAACTTACCTTACCCAGGGTCTGACCTATTTCCTCCCACAAATTTGTTGCTCTCTGAAAGTCTTTATATTCCTTCATTGATCTRATCTCCTTTGTGAGACGCTCTTTCCCAGTTGCACSCACAAATGATGCCGATTCTCAACTTTGTCTGCTTGGTGTCGCATCCAAACCAGTTCGATGTGAACTCACCGGATGTAAAAAACTGATATATGCGTGGACCTGTCCAGCAGACATCCACTTCGAGTCCGCCTCGAGTCCGCGCGGACCTCCACGGAGTGAAGTACACCTGAGTATGTGGGGGCCTTAAGTTTTTTTTTGTTGTTGTTGTTTTAAGTTAATGTTAGCTATATCTTCCTCCTCGTCTTTGATGCCATGACTGAATTAGTGAAAAATTAAGGAATTTGTCAGGCAATCAGTACGCTCGAGTATAAAGTCTCTAACTTCCACGGACACTATG